CCTACTGCTTGAACACTATACACGCTTAGACCAAAGTTACAGAACCTGAAACTTTTGTTCTAAACCTAAAACACAGACTGACCATTGCTTAAACAAAAGTACTGCTTTGCACTCTACTTTCATTTCTACAACAGACTTTCTCCTTTTGGAACACACTTTCTCTTTCTGCAACACACTTTCTCTTTCTGCAACACACTTTCTCTTTCTGCAACACACTTTCTCATGCTCACTACACACTGTGTCATACATAAGACACTTTGTTCATAAATGCAATCCTGTGTTTATCATTGGGAAAACACATCTATTCAAAATACCAAACACACTGTGTGATTGAAAACACTCAGACACACACCTGAAAACACTTACTTACAAAACGTGACACACATCAGTCAGACATAAATGGGCCTCATTTCAGCCTTCTTTAGAACTTTGCAAGTATGGAGGAGGCAGGAAGAGCAAGAGGTAGAGGTAGAGGAAGACAAGGAGCAAGAGGAGGAGGACGTGGTCGAAGAGGCCATGTACGAAACATTATATCTGATGATATTAGAGCAACATTGGTTGATCATGTCATCAATCATGGCCTCACAATGAGGGAAGCTGGCCAGAGAGTCCACCCACACCTGAGCCGGTTCACACTTGCATCCATCATAAGGACCTTCAGACTGGAAAACAGGTATGTCTCCAACTCTTTACTGTATTTACAGCATCTACAGTATTTACAGTACTTTACCGTATCACATGTACTGTATTTCAAGTTGGCTTGGTACATAGCACTGTACCATTGAGATGTCACAGTACTGTGAACAGTATACAGTGCTGTAAAAAATAACTAAACCCGTAGTAACAATTTGTGGTTGCATATTTCTACAGAATGACTAGAAGACCTTTTGGAGGGGGTCGGCAACACATGTTCACTCAACTGCAGGAACTTGCCATTGTAGAAATTGTCAGAGAAAACAACGCAATCTCTCTCCGCCAGCTACAACAAAAGATTATTGCAGATGGGCAAGTATTTGTAAACATCAATGAAGTAAGCCTCACCACGATTGGACGTGTCTTGGCAAAGCACCAACTGACAATGAAGCAGTTGTACAGGGTCCCGTTTGAGAGGAACAGTGTCAGGGTCATAAGACTTCGACAAGAATATGTACAAGTAAGTTTTGCAGTCTTTTACTGTATTGCAATTTATGTAATTCATTACAGTAATAGCTGTGCCATTGTACCAGTACCACATACATGCAAAGAGGGAAAAAGGCACTGGTGTGTTTGTGTTGTAGGGAGGGGTGTGACTCTGTGTGTGTAGTACTGTGTTGTAGGGAGGGGTGTGACTCTGTGTGTAGTACTGTGTTTTGAGTAATGCCAGCCATTCATGCTATGTATTTTGTTGTTGCAGAGAATCTTGGACATGGATGGAGCTGTACAACTACATGAATTCATCTACTACATTGATGAAGCTGGTTTCAACCTCAACAAAACTAGAAGACGGGGTCGTAACATAATTGGTCAAAGGGCAATTGTGCATGTCCCAGGGCAACGCGGGGGAAACATCACATTGTGTGCCGCCATAAGCCTTCGAGGGTCACTACATCATCATGCCAACCTAGGCCCCTACAATACACAGCAAATACTAGCATTTCTAGATGCACTTCATGATGCACTTGAACGGGACAGACCAGAGCAGCCCAGGTTTGTGATTGTCTGGGATAATGTTAGTTTCCACCGGGCTGCTCTGGTCCACAACTGGTTCGCCCACCATGCTCAATTCCAAGTTGTTTACTTGCCTCCTTACTCACCGTTCCTGAACCCTATAGAGGAATTTTTTTCCGCTTGGAGATGGCGCGTGTATGACCGCCAACCCCACGCTCGGATGCCTCTGCTTCAGGCGATGGAAGAGGCATGCAGAGACATTGAGGTAACGTCCATCCATGGATGGATTCGACACACAAGGAGTTTCTTCCCCCGTTGCTTAGCAGGAGAACATATCGCTTGCGATGTGGATGAGATCCTGTGGCCAGACCCAGACAGACGCCGGGATCCATAATGCCACCCACGCACTATTGCCTATAGTTTTACATTTTTATTTATATTTTGTTTATTGCATTTTACTGTACTGTAAAGTATACTATGATGTACGATATTGAGTTAGTATTTTGTCACCTCTCAGTACTTTCATTTTTGTTTGTTGGTAAACCTTTGTTGAGAACAAGAACTTTGAGCTTCAAGTTAACTGAGAAACATAATAAAAACAGTGGAAAATGAAAGACTAGTGTTTTATATAAAGTACTGTAGTGTTTTATATAAAGTACTGCAGTGTGTTGCTTCCAATCTGAAAGTGTGTTCACATGATGCATGTGTGTGTCATTTTGTCCTCAGAGTTTCATTTTGACAAATGATTGTTTATTTTTGAGAGCAGAGTTTGAGTTTTGAGAACAGAGTTTGAATTTTGAGAACAGAGTTTGAGTTTTGATAAAGGAGTTTGATTTTGAGAGAGATGTGTATGGTTTATGTCCCAGTGTTGTGTCAGATCATCTTGTGTTTAGAGTTTTGGGACTATGAGCGAAATTTTGCACAATGTGTTCAGGCAACAGGAAAAAACTGTAAGCTTGGACCAGTGGGGTCCGGTGTTCGGGCCCCACCACGTAAAACCAGTCCCCATGACGTGAGTGGAATCTCAGGTTATGGAACCCACCAGGAGTTGAAAACAAGTGCACACACGTCACATACACATATACACACACACACACACCTCATATACACACACACACACACCTCACACACACACACACATACACCTCACACACACACACACACACACGTCACAGACATGATCCTTGGATGGAATGAGCTGTGGAAGTTTGATACATATTTTCAGATCCACATTTGATTGTTTTTTTGTTTTTTTGGTTTTTTTACACAGAGTAGAAACAAAGTGATTGCTTTTCCAAACCAATTCAATGTGATATCAGACAAGATTTTTTTCTTCACAAGTTACATTTTCAGAAATATGAATATGGAAACCGTCACATCCGTTACTCATTTTTCAAGGGTAGTTTAAATTAGTATTGATTATTTTTCAAAAATGATTCCTTTATAAATGAAGTGATATTTCTGATGTTATGTTAGAGTTCATTTGTGGGAGTTAATCTTTGTCACTGAGCACCTTTTATATGTCACAGTAGAATGCAGGGCCGGAGTGGGACAACATTTCAGGCCGGGAGCTTTTCATCCATTCAGGCCAAACAAGGTTCTAAATTTGGGTTTTTGTCATTGTATTTTGATGTTCTTTTAATAGTTTTAAGATTGACTGTCAAAACTTTTGTTTTCTTTATTTTTTTTTTATATTGACGGTTTATATAATCTCGGACGTTTAAGGATTGTTGTACGTTGCTTAGCAACGTAACGTTTATGGAGTTTAGTGAGAATAAAGACACACACACACACACACTATGAACTAAGTGTTCATTAGTGTATAACTATAACAAGCTAATCAATTATTGTTAAAAAAGTAGTAAGGTAAAATCACATCGTTACAGCTCATATAAAAGGAAAAATAAAAACGTGTATGAACCATCAGTTGGAGAGACCACTCATTTCAACCGGGGAAGCTACACTGGGTGCACTGCTAGGCTGGCCTGGCTGTGTAGCCGACGTGTGACGTCACATTTGTTTAATTTTGCTCTGGCCCAATGACAGTAAAGCTTTGGCCAGTGTTGTGCCAGTTCACAGCTTTTCTGAACTAGTTCAAGTTCAGTTCATACATGCTCAAAGTGAACAGTTCACGTTCGAAGTTCTCAATTTTGATTCTGAACTATATCTCGTCCAATGCAGACAAGATTTACATGGGTTTCAATGGGAACTGAGTTGTCCCATCTCTGCTCATAAGTACAAACTGTAATGCGCTGCAGAACGTGTGTCTATACTTTATGTCAAATGTAAACGGCCCTGTGTCACTGACTTACCCCTGTGTTTTCATCACGGCACATGTGAGTCCAACAACCAATGAATAGCACTAGCATATAGCGCCGCACCGCAAGTACACTGAGTCGGGGTGCGTTCACAGACGGTGGAAACCGTAGGAATTTTTAGTTTTCGGCGGAAACAGTGCGGAGAATACAGGAGGGAGGAACTTTCTCTCGTTGCGTTTCAAAAGAGAAAACAGATTTCACTCAGTTTTAAATGGAAAACAAATTGTCTGCCGTTCATGACACATAATATGAACTAATTCACGTTCAAGTTCTTTATTAAAAAATGTGTTGCGTTCAGTTCAACGTTCACGAAAAAATGAGCGTGTTCAATGAACGCGTTCTTTTGAACTCGTTCATGCACAACACTGGCTTTGGCCTGGGCCTTGCTCATTGGACCAGGCCACCAGGCAGGGTAGGAGTTTGCAAAGACCGTGAGGATGAAATTAAATTAAAAGAAAAAAAAAAAAAAAGACCGTGATGATAGGGCAGGCCCAGGCCACTTTGACACGCAGGCCACCGGGAGATCTCCCGATGCTCCCGATGGCCAGTCCGGGCCAGGTAGAATGATCACAGCAGAGGCTTGATCGTATCCACAATATCTCTCTGATCTGTCTGTGTTTGAAATCCTCTTTTCTATTCTATGATAGTAATTTTAGTTTTTGAGTTATAACCTTTAACAGTTTTTCTCTATTACTACAACACAAAAGCCAGTACTCTAAACCAAATAACCAATTGCCTAAACACATTTATTAAAACTACCCCCCACTTTTCACAACCATAAACACAATTCTCCTTTAGACACTGTTCACAAAACCCATCCCCTTTTTCTCAAAACTCTAAACACATTTTTCCTTTGCTAAAACACTTTTTGCATGTATCTCTGGTCCAATTTGCATTGTGAAGCTCATGTGATGCAAAATGCCTCCCACAGTCAGCAAAACTTGAACACAATGAACAAACCTGGTGTCATTCAGTGAACACAACCACGATGTGACCACAACTTTATAAGTCCGTGCAGGTTCCAAACAAAAATGGATGATCAAGGCAGAAGAAGAGGAGTTTGTGTCATTGGAGGGAGAGGAGCAGGTCAAAGAGGGAGAGGATCAGGTCAAAGAGGGAGAGGAGCAGGTCAAAGAAGATGAGGAGCAGGTCAAAGAGGGAGAGGAGCAGGTCAAAGAGGGAAAGGAGCAGGTCAAAGAGGGAGAGGAGCAGGTCAAAGAGGGAGAGGAGCAGGTCAAAGAGGGTGAGGAGCAGGCCCCGGAGGGAGAGGAGCAGGTCAAAGAGGGTGAGGAGCAGGCCCCGGAGGGAGAGGAGCAGGTCAAAGAGGGAGAGGAGCAGGTCAAAGAGGGAGAGGAGCAGGTCAAAGAGAGAGAGGAGCAGGTCAAAGAGGGAGAGGAGCAGGTCAAAGAGGGAGAGGAGCAGGTCAAAGAGAGAGAAGAGCAGGTCAAAGAGGGTGAGGAGCAGGCCCCGGAGGGAGAGGAGCAGGTCAAAGAGGGAGAGGAGCAGGTCAAAGAGAGAGAGGACCAGGTCAAGGAGGGAGAGGAGCAGGTCAAAGAGGGAGAGGAGCAGGTCAAGGAGGAAGAGGAGCAGGTCAAAGAGGGTGAGGAGCAGGCCAAGGAGGGAGAGGAGCAACATGCATTATGAATGCAAGAGAAATTTAGGTACCCTAGCTTTAATTTAGTGATTTGTAGTTTCAGGGCTACAGGAGACACGGGGACACTTCCAGAGGCTCACATAGTTCAGCTGCATTTCTCACAGCGCTGTATTTATCGCGTCCACAGGTTGTCCAAAGATCCGCACTTGTCCTGTCAGCGCCGGTCACATGGGAATGAGTCCGCTGTGGCACCAGAGCATGTGGAGGGGGGGCGCCCCCACTATTTGCCCCCACCCCCCCACCCCTATATGAGAAGCACTGCCCTAAACATTGTGTTTTCAATTGTTACTGTACTGTAGTATCTATTGTGTGTCATGTTTGCATTGAGTTGTGATATAACTACATTTTCTACTTTATGTACTGTAACTATTCTCATGAAACGCACAAATCTATAGTAAATGCCCAAAACATTTGAGAATTAAAAAAGTGTTGCTCAAATGCATCCTGGCAGTTGTGAAACTGTAAAAAGAACAGTCTCACATTCTGAAAATTGTGTTTTCAATTGTTTTGGTGATGTGGTTAATGATGCTCATAGTGTTCACATTTTTGCAGACCATGAGAGGTGTTTTGGTGTGATGGGTTGGTTTTGAAAAGAGACTGTGTTGTTATGAGTACGTAGCTTTAGAAAAGAGGTTTGTGTTTAGAGTCTTGAGAAAAGGGAGGGCAGTATCGTGAAATGTGTTTAAGCAATAGAGAAAAACTGTATAAGTCCAGATACTTTCATTTACACTTTACTGTGAACACACCCCTCTCCTACACAAAGCAACACAAAGCGCTTCACAACGCATATCACATCAAGCATAAATCATAAACATTCAAATCTACAAAAACATAAAAAAATATTATTTTGACTACAGACATATTTTATGCAAGTACTTAGAAACATAAACCTACACAACAACAAAACATTATTACTGGAAATATTAACTCAGAGAATGAAGAGAAAAGAGGAAAACCTTTTCTGGATGATGCGAATAACCGCCTCAAACATATTACCAAAGACTGGAGAACAACCAACATCCCCAACATCCCCAAAACCCAAAACTGGATGGAAGCAATTCAAGAGGTTCAGCTGATGGAGAAACTGTCACACAAGATTAATAATGAGGAAGATGAATTCCCACCTATTTAGAATGAATAATAATAATGCATTTTTATTTCAACAATAACTATAAAACTAGATAGAGAGGAGCTTCTTTAGGGGATATGTATGTGTATGTATGTATGTGCTCATATGTTGATGTATGCATGTGTATATGTATATACATGTGTATATATGTGTGTGTATGGGTATTTGTGTGTGTATATGTAAATATAAATGTGAACTCAACAAATATGGACACTGGACACAGTAGAGGACGACTGACTAAACATTCTGTCTATTTGTCAGAATGATATCAGAACTATTCATCTATTGTTTATAGTATTGTATATACAGTGCCTTGCAAAAGTGAACCTTGGACCTTTCAACATTTTGCCACATTTCAGGCTTCAAACATAAAGATATAACATTTTATTTTTTTGTCATGAATCAACAACAAGTGGGACACAATCGTGAAGTGGAACGAAATTTATTGGATAATTAAAACTTTTTTAACAAATAAAAAACTGAAAAGTGGGGCGTGCAATATTATTCGGCCTTTACTTTCAGTGCAGCAAACTCAGTCCAGAAGTTCAGTGAGGATCTTTGAATGATCCAATGTTGTCCTAAATGACTGATGATGATAAATAGAATGCACCTGTGTGTAATCAAGTCTCCGTATAAATGCACCTGCTCTTTGATAGTCTCAGGGTTCTGTTTAAAGCGCAGAGAGAACCATGAAGACAAAGGAACATGTAACCGGTGGGTTGTTTGTCCCTAATGAGCCGCCGTAGAGGGAATTCCCCCCAAGCCGGTACGTAGACTTCCGCATTCCATTACATTAGCACTCATATATAAACACACAGCAGACGCCCGTACTGACGCTACATCCCTGTGCCACTTGCGCCAATCGTGGTCCCTGGGGCGGGTATTCCTCTCACTGCTGAAGGCCTGGTAGGTGTGTTTGTGCTCCTCATTTTTTTTGTGAATTCTCAGTTCTCCTTTTTGTGTTTTAGACGCTGGCTCAGACTGCTGCGTGTGTAAAGGAGGCGGCCTGCTATGACGTAGCCGCTCTCTTGTAGTCATACTAGGTAATGCCAGTTTACAAGTAGAGGAGGAATATTTATTTCATGTGTTAACTCTTTCTTGTTCTTATAGGCGCTGAGTGCCTTGCAGTTTTGTATTTGGGTCTAATTGGCATTTTAATTTGGTTTTTGTTGTTTCTTTATTTAATTTACTTATTTACTATTTACTGTGTTTGTTTGGTGCTTAGTTCATTTTAATATATTGAACCCTGTGATTGGGTACTTGTGCTCATTGTGTCTTTTTCTGCTCAGGGTCTGGTCCGGGCGTGGCTTCTCATGTTGGGGGATTTGGTGATAGTTACCCACTGCTGCACCATCACTCCTTTTGAATGCCGTGGTATTTTGCACCTCCCTTCACCACTTGTACATTTTCAGTTTGCCTCTTTTCTTGATTTGGTGTGTGTATGAATGTGTGGCACGGAGCGTAGTGAGTGCTCTATTCCAGCCCCTTAGTCCTCCATCGTGTATGGCCGCTACTGGCCAGCCCTGAGTGTTGCTTGCTTTCTTTCTGGTTAGCATTGTAGCACATATTTTATAATTGGTATTTTTAATGATTACATTTAATACAATGAAATAAAAACATATTTTCCTATTTCTTAGGTCTCATTCGCCAAATAAATTGCTCGAAATTGTATAATTTGTGTCTGGTCAATTACTTGTTGCATCCCACCATTATACCAGGGCCCTGCGGTCACAATTGGCGTTGTCTGGCAGTGTGGCTAGGATGCAATAGTGATTGTACTGGCGATTATTCTGTATGTTTTTTATTTTTTTTTGTTTTTTTGTGCTTGTCCAATTAGACCCAAATAGAACTGCATTGGTCATCGAGGAAGCCAGCTGGACCTCCACAACGGCAACGGCTCCTACCGTTCTCCTGTACTTTCCTCACCCCACAACAATCATGGCCACTGAACAAGAGCTCAGAGACTTGGTCCAGCAGCTCCAGTCTGAAAATGAACTGCTGCTAGCCGCTTCCAATATGAACTCTGGAGCAGCTGCCCCGAGTTTGTATTTGACCATTTGGAGGGTGAGGCTAAAGATGAGATCAGGTACAGAACAAGAACAGAGAGGGAAGATCCAGAAAGAATTATGTCTATTCTGCGGGAGTTGTATGGCTGTGTACGTTCCTGTGTGTCTTTGCAAGAATGTTTTTTTTTCCAGAAAGCAACAGGAAGGAGAGTCACTGCATGAGTTTTCGCATGCCTTATGTTGTCTTATGGAGAAAGTCGAGCGTTGTGCTCCCAGGAAAATGGCAGACTCCCACATCCTCTTACGCGACCAGTTTGTTGAGCACGTCCTAGATCCTAACCTGCGCAGGGAACTAAAAAGGTTAGTGAGGGAGAAGCCTGAGTGCACGCTGTTAGAGGTTAGAGCTGAGGCCATAAGGTGGGAACGGGAGGGTAGACCAGATGAGCCACGGGGTAGGAGCTTTTCAGTCCCATCCTTCAGCGCTGTTCATTATTCCAGGGCCCGCCCACCTAGCCTAACGACAAACTTGGAGTTCACAGAGCTGCGACAGCTTCTAGAAAAGCAACAGGAACAGTTAAATCAACTGACCCAGGGGTTGTTGGCATTGCAGACAGCCCCCCGAGCTCCAGTCAGGCGACCTAACACCCTACTGTGCCTCCGCTGTCAAAAACCCGGCCATTTTGCTCGGGAGTGTGATAATGAGCGGTTCATTCCACAGGCTCGGCCTCAGCATGTGGCCGCTACAGTAGGTCCCATTCCGTTTTGTCGCCTTTCACGCGTGAATCACACGAGACTCACGTGTGATTCACGCGTCTTTTATTTTCCCCCCTCCCAGTGACGTTGCAATGACCAAAACAACCACCCGGTGGCACTTGTGAGCAGGGTTACATTGGCGTCTCATCGCTCTTTCTTCTCTCTTCACTGGACAACTATCTGTGGCTTTAAGCCTAGCGTACTGTACATCGGACTGGCAACTGATTATATCCGTCGCCTACTGTATGAGTTTCTGCCCCGCGCACATCGACAATCTGGTTAAAAAGGGGGCAACTCCTTGTAGCAGGCCAGTCTCTGGAATAACCCGCAGACATTAAAACTACTGCATATAACGTAAACTTTTGCATCACGTTGGTGATCTTTCCAAAAAGAGAGAATATCGTTATGGAAAGAGAAACTATTGGTAATATAACGCTAAACGTTATTTGACTCAAACAGCTCCGCTGGTGTCTCCTCCCACTCAGAAAAAAAGCAGACGCCTTTTCTCTGGCATCTCTAACATTTATAATAAATACATAAATATAACAATCATAATGAAGATGCTTTCAAATAATTTAGCAAGCTGTAATTCATTTATTTTAACTCCCTGCCAAACTTCTCTCGCTGCTCTCTCCTCCGCAAACCACTAAATGAGGAAAAGGGAATATTCACTCAATCTATTTTGAATGTTACACATACAATATTAATATAGTCTAAGCACGTGTACCACATGTAGCCCGTGTATTTACCACAGACTGTAAGTATTAAAGTAATGAGGCCCCTGCTTTAGGCCTCTGCTGTGAGGCCCACACACTGTAAATCCTTATATCCGCCTCACCTAAAATTATTGATCATACTTTACTTGATTTTTCTCCAAGTTTACTGTTCACCCACACACTATTAGTAACCTTTACAATTCATGTCAAAATCTAACTTTTAAATGACATAGTTGAATTTCATTTCATAAGTGTTGGTGTGTATCATCTATGGCAGTGTCTCCCAAAGTGGGGTCCGCGGCCCCCTGGTGGGCCGCGAGGGTACTGCAGGGGGGCCGCGGGAGGTCATAAAAAAAATAAAAAAATAATATAATTATTTAATGTTA